CAGTACAGTTGTACGAGCCCCCAATAAAATGATTTTTTTTAAATGCGGAGCTCATCATCAAGCATGGCATTTTGTATGAAGAAACTACCATGAGGAGGCATGGTCAATATAAAACAGATATAAAAGAATGCATAGCCACCATGATCAAAACATAAATGTGAACTTTAAAAAAATAATAATACATTTTTTAAAATAGCCCAATAAAATTTTACCAATGACAGGGGATGAGGAGAGAGGTGTGTGTGTGTGTGTGTGTGTGTGTGTAAAATTATTGAAACTTAAAACTCAGTATATAGGCAACACAGATTAGACACAACTAATAGGGAATTCATAAACTGGAAGACAAGTCTAAGGGAATCATCCAAAAGGCAGCACAGAGAGGTAAAGATAATAGAACAATGAATGGTGTGTTGAAGGACTAGAGGGTAAATGTCAATAGAAGATATTAATAAGAAAGTTGAGTATTTGTCTATTTATACTTCCAAAAAGAGATTGGAAAATATAGGAAAGGATTGGGAAGCTGGGAATTCTCTGAAACTGAAGAAAGGACTCCTCAGACTGATGAAGTACATTGACTCTTTAGTCAAGAGTTTCTTGACTACGAGGACTGTAGGAGAGATGGCCTGCAGAAGTGATCTCTGCTGAACGAATTTAATTACTACAAGGCAACTATCATTGAAGTGGGGCTGATTATAAAGCCCAAAGCCCAACTACTGCCCTTGAATCGACAGCAATCACAGACTGGGACAAAAATCACGTCTAGATTGCCATGTCTCTGGGCTGTTGTGTCATTTCACTTCACACCAAAAAGTCACAAGAGAAAGTTCCTTCACGCTTCTAATTAATCAAAGGATCTCTTAAACTTTTCTGTCCTAGGTCTGCACTGATATTGATGAGTGTCGAAATGGAGCTTGTGTTCTCAATTCTATCTGCGTTAACACCTTGGTAAGTCTTTCTCAAAGCTGCGCATCTCAAAGCAGAATCAGTTCTTAAAACACATCACCACCCCCTAAGCCAATGGTTCTCAACCTTCCTAATGCCACGACCCTTTAATACAGTTACTCGTGTTGTGGTGACACCCCCCCACCACCACCATAACATTATTTTCATTGCTACTTCATAACTGTCATTTTGCTACTGTTATGAATTGGGCAACCCCTGTGAAAGGGTCATTCAGTCCCCAAAGGGGTCGTGACCCATAGGTTGAGAACCGTTGCCCTCAGCACATAAAGAACACATGGGCATAGTACAGTTGATTTGCTGACTAAGGATAAAGGTGGGTGCAAAAACCGTATTTTATATAAGTAATGTTTGAGTCACTTAATTTTTCACATACCGGTAATTTTATAAATACCAACTGAATGTAAACCAGTTGGCAAATACAAATAGTTGATGAAAGTCAAGTAAGCTTAGGATTTAGAGTCTTCCCTCAGAGCCCCTTAGAACCTGGATGAGGTCTCTCGTGACCTCTACACATGAGGCAAGGTGACTGCACACAGCTGTGAGTGGAGGGAGCCTCGCTCGCATTGCAGTGTACGAAGGGCAGTGCCCAGCTCGCCATGGCGGGCCGAAGAGGTAGTTTCTAAATAAGCAGGCAGGGACAAATGACTCTCATCTGAAAGTCCTGACATGATGCCCTCTGTTTTCATCCCTTCTCACAAAATGATTCCGTTTAACTCACTTCTGTGAGCAGTAAGTGGCTGAGCTCTGAGCTAGGCACCTGGCAATAGGAAAATGAATAAATCGTAGTCCTTCCTTCCCTCTCATTTACCCTCAGGTAAATGATATGAAGATAAATATGGCAGGTTCAGCAAAACCGTAAGCAGTTTAGTGTTGCTAAGTCATCATTTGTAGAGCAAAAGTGATAATAATTGATACTGTGGAGTCAAGCACGAAAGATCTTGAATTCATTCATTCATCCCTTTAACATGCTGGCTCCTTCCGGTCCCTCACTGCACCTTCATGTTCGTTGAGTACTTAACGTTGGGCCAGGCCCCGTTCTAGGTTCTAGACATGAAGCATGAACAAGAGAAAGCTATTTGCCCTGGAGGAACTTAACAGTATTCCCTGGAAGACCATTGGGGGTGCTTCCAGCAGGTTTTTCTGAAAAGAATTAAACCCCACAGAAAATAATTTGAGATACTATGTATATTCTCACTTCTCCAGAAGATGGTACTTGATGAGTTCATTCTCCGTCCATGGGAGGTACATTAATTTATTGCACACAAAGGATGCTTTTGACCAAGTTTTACTGCTAACTTCGATTAGGCAGACAGTTGACAGAGGCTGCATAGACTATGGGAAGTCAAAGGGCAAGGTTTTAAACCAGGGCATGGCAGGATTATCTTTTCATCTCAGCCAGATTTATCTAGAGGTCTTCTGGACATGGGGTTTGAGGAAGGCAAGATAACTAGAGGGAAACTACCAAAATACTCACTGCTTTTGAGTCAATTCCAACTCAGAGCAACCCTATGGATCCCAGTAAAATGGTTCCATCGGGTTTCCAAGACTGTAAATCTTTGGGGGAATAGACAGCCTCCTTGTTCTCTTGTGGAGCAGCTAGTGGGTTTGAACCACCAACCTTGCAGTTAGAAGTCCAACATATAACCCACTGCAGCCTCAGAGCTCCAGAGGAAGACCAGGTAGGGCCTACTGTAGGAGCCTAGCAGACCATGGACAATGTCTGAGTAATGGTCAAGATGGTGGAGGTGAACTAGGTGTTGTGGGCTGAGCAGTTTTTAGAAATGTAAATGGTTGGTACTGGATTCCTTCAAATGTATGTGAGAAGGTGCAGTGAGGGACCGGAAGGAGCCAGCATGTCAAGGAGGGCTCTTGGATTGTGCAACTAGAGGGAGGACTGTCCATCCAGGGAAACAGGTAGTCAAAGAGGACGAGAAAACCCAACGAGGGAAGTAGCTAATTCAAATTTGGACAGGATATATTGTACTCCTCTGTGGAGTATGTAAGTGGAAATTTCTCAAGAGCAGTTAAATTTGTGGGTTCCATTCGGACAGTGTGCTCAGCCAATAATCACATGATCTTATAAGAGAGACTGAGCAGAAAGGCAGCCATGAATCGCACTGAATCCGCGGTGTTCTTGTGTATGTATCTCCATGTCAAAATGAACACAAGAACAGCGCATCACTCGAGGCTTTGAGTGGTGGGCTCATCTTCTTCTTACTGTTCCTGACAGGGATCTTATCGCTGTGGGCCTTGTAAACCAGGGTACACGGGTGACCAGGCAAGAGGATGCAAATCGGAAAGAAGTTGCAGAAATCCAGAACTGAACCCTTGCAGTGTGAACGCGCAGTGCATTGAAGAGAGGCTGGGGGATGTAACCTGTGTGGTACGTTGGTGGCTTGCTTGCTCAAGTACTTTGCCTCTTCCATTGTAAACACCTACCCCATCCCAGTCCCCACTTGCCTAACTCCCAGTAACAGTTCTCAAAAAATGAAAACATGGCGGCCAAAATGAATGCAGAATGTAGCAAGTCAACTCTGAGTGGGCAATCTGAGGAGCAACTACACATCGATCACCTCACACTACCAACTTGGCCACCTCCCTGGTGATTTTCACAGGCGAAGCCCCAGTTCCCAAGCACTTTCTGAGAAAATGCCCAAGACATGAGCAGCAGGGAGGTAAAAGGTCCTCTGTCTGTTCCCCCAACTCTGACAACCGCCCCATCGACGTGTTGGTATGACTTGCTATCCTATCGGCTGTCTTTTCTGCCTAGTCCCCACTTTATGATGTCCAATTTAAATTCTGGCCTTATACAGGGGGCCTCAATAATTCATGGAAAAATTCCATTATCTTTTCATGACATTTTCCCACCAACTTTTTGAAACCCCCTCCTACTACAGGGAGTGGACCACAAGGGAAGGAGAATGTCTGTCACCAGCATAGCTAGGGGTCATCCACCTCCACCCAGGTTCTGAGGACAGAGCTTTTTCATGCATTTCAGATCTAGAACCATCTCTGGGAGGAGGTATGGGGAAAAGGAGGCTGAAAAGAGGGCAGGAAGTCTTGACCGTCTACAGTGTTCACACCTGGTGCGTGGGAACACTCTGGGAAGAAGGGATGTTATTCCTGCCGTCCACTCTCCAAATCCCAGTTGCCAGAGCCCTCTAGGACTCTGGGTGCCATTACATCACCAGATGCCAGCCACTCACCGCCTACTCCCCTTCCTCTCCCCGCCTCCATGGAGTGGGCCCCAGCACCTGACCCTTGGGAACCTGCAGTAGCATGGATTCTGGGAGCTAGTCCCCCATCTGCTTTATTCTTCAAGGCTAGCCTTCATTATACATGTGCTCACAAATCTTTCTACAATGAGCGTACTGTTTTTCAAATAGGAAAGAAAATCTTATTAAAAAGAAATTGATATAATGACATCAGCTATCCCTAGAAATCCAGACATTCTGGAACAGGTAAGGATGAAGGGGCGTGGCAGCATATGAGGAAAAGAATGGCAATTTTCTTAGTTAGTCCTTGTAGCTTGAGCATCTTTATGGGGGAAGGAGGATGGGAGCAGTCAATAACAGCCAAATACACAGAGATTCCTGTTTTCTGTAGACACATTGGCAATTCCCCTGGGGTGGTGGGTGATGGGGCTCTTAGTGTGCTTTTTGAATCTGTCATAAGGCATAACGACAGATGGTAAAGGATTAATAAACTTCATTTAATGACTAAAATAATTTAATCTGCCAGAAAATGGCTCATTAAAAAGTCTTTATTCCTAGAGGAAGGTTTTTTTCCCTCGTTAAAATGAGCCCAGGACCATACCCCGAGGCTGAAAGCCCCTCCTCTGCCCCCCCTGCCCCTCCCCCCCAGGCAACAGTGGGCAGGCGGCCAGTAGTCACCTTTGGACTGCTGCCCTGTCAAAGCCGGAGAGCACAGATGATTCTGAACAGGCGGTAGATGGTCTTGAAACACCTCGTGGTGACTAGAGAGGCCAAGACATTTGACATGGACTCCTGGAAAGCTGTTTCCCCTTGGTCCTACCTAGGTGCCTAACCCCTCCCTGCCCCCCCCCCCCTTCCCCTCCTTTCACAAGTCAGCATTCCCTCCTCCTCCATTTCCCTCTCCGTGTGTCCTTCTTCCATCTTCCTTAAGTGGGCAAAATCCCTACGCTACCGTGATAACCTGCTTTAAAAAGCAAGGCACCAAACGATGGGCAGGTCGGTCAGAAAGTATTGCTAGGGGATCAAGGAAACCTTTCACCGAGAGTCTCAAAGTGTGACGCCGCAGTCCCATGGTGGACCCTCCCCCTATGTCTGTTCCATGTGGACCCTCCACCTTCCTAGCCCTTCCCTGAGGAATTCTGTGCCCTGGGATTTGCACATCAAGATAAGGCATTTGGGGCATCTTCAAGAGACTGGAGATTCAACTCTTTGTCCTCTCAAATGTTCTTTTAAGTTGGGAACAGAAAGAAGTCTGAAGGGGTAAGATCAGGGCTGGAGGGTGGACAGAGTAAGATTCCCAATGAATTTCTCGTAGATGAGCCCTTGTTCTCCTGGAAAAATATGCCAGGGTGTTGTCATGCGGGAAGCCAGTTGTCTCTGGTGCACCTTACCTAGCCTGGTTCTCGCCGGTGCAGTTTTCTGTTCTCTTCAAATGTCTTCTGAAGAAGCCCCAGGGATGGCCTCCTCCCTGACAGTCTAGCAGGATTGCTCCTTGGGGATCCTGGAAGACAGTCACCCTAACATTCGAGGTGACCTCTCTGCCCGGCATTCAACTGGTCCCGCAGAGCCCCTCAGCCCTGGTGTGTGAGGGCACCCTAAGGAGGTGAAGATGAGTGTGGTTCTGAGAGAACGTGTCTGCAGCCATCCACTGCTTGCAGAGACCGCGTGAAACACACTGTGTTTGGAATAAAGCCCCGCGGGTCTGAACGGGGGCCCTCCATGGCACAGCTTGTTGACTTACATGTCAACATGTACCCCTACTGCTAACTGCGGAGAGAGCTGGCTGCGTGTCGGCTTCTCTGTGTGCATGGCCATAGGTTGCTGGAGCCATGAGGTCAGGGATGAGAAGCAAAGTTTTTGCTGTGTATCCCTTGTCACTTCTTAAATTTTGAACCAGTTATAATTAAATATAGATAGACAGATAGATGATAGATAGATAGATAGATAGATAGATAGATAGATAGATAAGAATAGAATCGAATTAATTCTATTCAGATATAATTAAATGGCTACAAACCCCCTCCCAACAAGGCTGCCTGGTACCTGGCCATCCCTCTGGGCATGAGCCCACACCAGCAGAGACCCTCCTTTGCCAGCTGCCTGCCTCCCCACCAGGCTCTGCCTCCCAGGCGTCTCTCTAATGGGCTTTCCATCCACAGTGTGGAGTCGGTTGGGCCGGCGATGGGTATGTCTGTGGAAAGGATGTGGACATTGACAGTTACCCTGACGAAGAGCTGCCATGCTCTGCCGTCAACTGCAAGAAGGTAAGGAGGCCCAGGGAGGAAGCAGGAGAAGGGATGCTACCTGGGGGGAAGTGGGGTCCCCAGCATGAGTCAAACCAGATACGAACTCTTGGATAGAAAATGACTTGGGTGCTGCAAACCTTTGCCCAGTTCACAAGAAAACATGTTTTCTATTCCCCAAAAGATGAGGACAAGCAGTAAAGAGAGAGTGGATTTAGAGAGAGTAGAGAGAGGGGCTCTGCAGGTCACATTTAATATTACAGTTTTTTAAGTCATTACCCCTTAGCTAAAACAAAATAGCCATCAATAAGGACATGGGGCAGCTATCAGCAGTCTGGAGGTGGTGGTCATTGTTAACGGCCATTGAGTTGGCCCCCAACTCACGATGACCCCCATACCCAGTGGTTTGGAACACCACCCGGCTCGGTCATCCCCACGACTGGGGGCAGATTAGACCATGCGGCCCATAGGGCTGTCAGAAGTAGATTGCCTTCCCGCTTCGCCTTAGTCTAGCAGCTGTGCAGAAACCTGCTCAACATGGAAGCCGGGAAGTCTGCCACTGAGCCCCCCAACGCTCTCTCTCGAGATTAGGAAGACGCTCTGAGTTCAGACACATACAGGATGTCTTTCTGAGCTGTGCTTCCCAACTTAGGATAACTGCAAGTTTGTGCCGAATTCTGGCCAAGAAGACGCCGACAGAGATGGCGTTGGAGATGCCTGCGATGAAGATGCTGATGGAGACGGGATCCTGAACGAGCAGGTACCCGCGCTCCCGGGAGGGGCTTTGAATGGCTGCTTGCCAGTGAAGGTGGGAGAAATCACGGGAAGCTAACTATTGACATTTATGATCATCTCCATAGCTGCCTGCTCAGAGCACTGCACCTTTTCATCTAAGATCCACGAATGTTTAAAATATGAAAGTGGCAGACTTGGATCTCAAGAGTTCGGGCAACACCTAAAGAGTGTGCGAGGGGAGCAGGGATTCAGTAAAAGCCTGAGTACATGTCTGACCTTCTGATCTTTTAGGATAACTGCATCCTGACTCATAATGTGGACCAAAGGAACAGTGATAAAGACATCTTTGGTGATGCCTGTGATAACTGCTGGACAGTCCTAAATAACGACCAGAAAGATACTGATGGGGACGGGAAGGGGGATGCCTGTGATGATGACATGGATGGAGACGGTGGGTTTATCTTCCTTTCTGCCATTTGCTTGGGGTCCTTTGCCCTTGTTCTCTGCTGGGGGAAGGGACAGGTTTCTGGACTCAGAGGGCCTTCAGGGTCTGGGTGTTGGGTGCAGCCTCTGTCTAGAGAGCCCTGGGTTTCTGTGGAAGGAGACTTCCCAGCCCACTTCCATTTAACGGCATGGTATTTCTGGCACTCTGTCTCATTGCCTGAAGCTTTGTAAGAATCGCTTCATGTTGTGTCTGATTGGAGAAACGTCTTTGGAAGGCACTTATTTCCCCAGTTTATTCCATCCCTGGTGCTCCCATCATTCTCTGTATATATTAGAAACACAGACGTGGACACTGGAACTAGAAGGCCCTGAGCAGAGTCACAAATGGCACCCCTGTGGGCCAAGTTTCTCCCCACATGGGGAAGGGCTGTGGAGCCAGGGTGGCAGCTGGCCCCTCTGCTCCAGGGACCTCCTATTGGGCTCTCTGGGGAATGGCATTTCCTGAAGCACACCTCTTGCCCACTCTGAGGCCTCTTGGAAGTCAAGGGAGGGGATTTGTCCCAGGATAGCTTCTGTAGCCTGAGGATCCCAAACCGTCTCTATGCATCGGTTACCTACGGGTCTGTCACCACTTCCAAAAACCTGCAGCCAGCCAATGCAGATGGAAATGAATGGTCGATTATCTAGTAAAGTTATAAAACTGAGAAAAGAAAGAAACTAGTCTCTCCTCAAGTGTAAGAGCTGACCCTGGTTATACTCCTTCCTCGTAGGAATAAAAAATATTCTAGACAACTGCCAGAAAGTTCCCAATCATGACCAAGAGGACAAGGACGGCGATGGTGTGGGGGATGCCTGTGACAGTTGTCCTGATGTCAGCAACCCTAACCAGGTAGGTCGGGTAGAGGGGAGTTCAAGCTCTAGGCTGAATTTCCCTCTGCAAAGGCCAGACCCCAAACTAAACCCAATTCTGACGTGTAGCTGCCCCCGGGCGTTTGTGAAGGCTGTCAGTCTTTACAGAAGCAGATGGAAGCATCTCTCAGTGAGCAGCCTAGCGCTTTAACTGCTGCACCTGGAAAACACAAGCAGGGCCATCAGCGTGTCTCTCTGTTGTCCTGCCTTACCTACCAGAGCAGGGGAAGGGGCGGGCGCTACACATTTGAGGCTGCAGGGGGCGGGGAGAGCACAAGAGGACCTCAAGGCCTGGGTTCATGTCATTGGCTGCAGGAGCTCCTATGAGATTAGGAATATGAGCTGAAGAGTTCTCCAAAAGGTTTACTCAGCTGACACGAACATGGGGTGTCGACATTAACCATGGGGCACTTTCTGTCTCTTCAGTCTCCCAAGCCCTACACATGTATGGACATTTCCGATTCAGCCAGCAGCATGTCATGATTGCTCTCTCACTCCTCCCACCAACCCACCGCCCCCACTGCCGCTGGGATAATTGGGCTGATGTGTCATTTATTTTTAAAGCCTTGAAAAGGGGGAGTCATTGTTGCCCTCCATGACTCACCCACCATTCTGGCTCCATTCCCAAATGCAGACGCAAAGGAGAATCAATTGGGCATGTCCCCGTGCCTGCGGGCTGGCTCCCTTCCTACCCTGTGCCAGAGTGCCACGTCTCCACCTACCACTGTGCTACCCTGGGACCCTTGCCCAGTCAGCTCATCTGGTGTGTAGGCAGCCCATCCACGGACCTTGATATTTTCAAAGACTTGGGTGAACAATTCAGCATTGTGCCTGCACCAATAGGGTGCTGCCCTTTTGCAGCTTTTACATCATCCGGTCCCAGAGAAATGCTTCCTGAACCCCAAGGATGATGGGCCAGGTCTACCCTCTCTGTAACAGTCTCTGGGTGTCAGCTCAGGAATAAATGACAAGGTGTTCTGTTCTCTTTGCAGTCTGATGTGGATAATGATCTGGTTGGGGACTCCTGTGACACCAATCAGGACAGGTATGGCATGTCTCCCAGCTCTGTGGGGCCAGATGGACAGGCGGAAGAGACTTGCAGCTTTCTGCTGCGTCTGAGCTCTGGGTTTGTGTGGGTGGATTAGGGCACCATTGAAAAAATCCCCATGCCAATAGTTAGAGTTGCCACAGATTTCTGAGTAGAGGGTAATGATGGACCACTGGGCATTCTGTCAAGGGAGAGTCTCTGACGAGAGAAGAAGCTTCAGAGATGGGCGTGGAGTGACATCCTGCGTTAGGCTGGGTTGTCTAGAAAAACAAATCCAGTGACACTCCTATAAGAGCTGTATATCATGAAGCACTTATAAAGCAGGAAGGCATCCCAGCCCAGTCCAACTCAAGCCCATGAGTTCGATGCAGGAATCTTCAGATTCCCATAGCTACAGGCCAGAAAGCTGTAGGGGAAATCAGGAAGATCACAGGCCAGTAGGTGCAGAGGCATGAGGAGGCAAAGCTAGCGGAAATATGGCAGGGCACCCAGGGTTCTCGGGGTTAGGCAGGCAGAGTCCCAGCAAGTAGGAGGTGGAGGAGCAGAGCGAGAGCATTCCCAGTGTCTCTCTCTCGTCTACAAAAAGGCTAAGGACACCAAGCATGTGTCATCAGCCTGCGACCCAATTGATAGGTTGAGCTCCGCCCCTACTCTTACCCAGAGTGTGTAGTTGACGTGTTCTCTAACCATCAAGGTCCCTAGATATAAATCCCAGATCCTTCACCTGCTGGCCAGCTTAATGTAGAAAAGTTCCCTAATCTCTCTGCACCTTGATGTTCTCATCTGGAAAATGGGGGTGAATCTAGCTCATAGGGCTGTTGTATGGAAGAATTGAGTTAGCCCGTGAGTGAAAAGTACTTATTAAAGTTTCTGTTACCTAGGTAGCTCTAAAAAGGAAAGAAAAGGAAGAATTGGCTTTGTTACTGCTATATTCTTTCAGCTCCAGCATTCTTCACTGTCATCCTCAAATAGAAAGCTGTCAGTTTGCTGAAGAACTCTGTCCTGTCATTGTCCTTAGAAATCTTTCCAGTTTCAGTAGAATTGTTCGATGCAAATGAATGTTGTCATCCTTCCTAGACCCACCAACCTGAGGTTCTACTTTAACAGGGCGCGGGGGGTGGTGCTGTATCAGATGCTATGAAAACATCACCAAAGACATAGGCAGGTGCAACTCTGCCCTCGAGGCATCCTTGCTCCAGAGCGCTAAACCTTCATCTCCTTGAGGGTTCTTGTGGGGGCAGTCGGCACAGGAAAGGCTTCAGAAAGGGAACTCGGAAGGAGAAGGTGTAGCTTCTCTTCCCATCTCTGGATCAGAGCTTGCCCTGAAGACACTCGTTCTCCGGCAAGGCCTAAGGGTTAATTTCTATGAAGTCCTAAGTGGAATTAGTAACTATTTTTTATGACACCTCGGGCCCTGGCTACAAAGTCCACATGAACCGAGTGAGTTTCTGCATTCTTCTGCATGGATTTCTTCCTCAGCAAGTCGTGATCATTCAGTATATCTCACAGGCTATGATGGAAATGAAAACGAATGTAGCTCAGGCCCCCAGCGCAGAGCTGGCCCTCAGGTGGCATCCAGAAAGAGGTGCTGGGTTGTCCTCATTATGTCAGTGCCAGGTGCGGCCAGTCCACCACAGAATGTGATGGAGGAGGCCTCTCCCATTCAGAGCGGAAGGTGGGGCTGGTACATTGACAATCCCGCTCCGTGATGCGCATCAGGAAAATGCTCCCCATCTCAGACCATCGACAGGAATTCCTCAACTATCCTAGCCCACTGGCCTCGAGGTCTTGGCCTCAAACAAATGACCAATTCTGCTGTATTATAATTCCTACCAACTGGGCCCTTGGGAAGAAAGACAGAGGCTGCTAAATTGTTTACTTTAAAAATGTCCAGGGCTAGATAGGATGGCAGCTGATGGAAGTTGTTCAAGCTGCTGTTCTAGAAAACAGCCCCACTGTGTGCACAGGAGGGAGCCCTGGTGGTGTAGTGATTAGGCACTGGGCTACTAACCACAAGGTCAGCAGTTCAAAATGATCAGCCAATCCAGAAGAGAAAAATGAGGCTCCCTGACCTATAAAGAGTTGCAGTCTCAGAAACACCCAGGGGCAGTTCCACCTTGCCCTGTGGAGTTGACTCAGTGGCATTGGGGTTAGTGTGCAAAGGAATCCCCATTGTTTATGCTCCATCGCCTGCTTCCCAAGGTTGGCCTCACAGTCTTCCCTTTGGACCCATCTAGGGAGCAGGGCCTGAAAAGCATGGGCGGGGCCTCCTGTCCCTCATGTCCGAGGGTGTATGGGGCAGGACAGATGGCTGGTGGGAGCCCAAAGAAGGGAGCTCCTGTGGGCTCTCCGCAGAAAGTTGCATGTAGGGCAAGCACTGGGATTGTGCCCGATCCACACCTCCGACACCCATCTTTTGGAGGATAATACAAGCCACACTCATTAATCTTTCACTTAGCACATGATGGCACTACATGAAATTTACAGCTGCACCCTCCCTGCTGCCACTGATGAGAACTGGTCTGCAGGGTGCTCAAAGTCTTTTTTATTTTTTAACTTATTTTCCCCACTGTCTTCTCTTTCTACAGTCAGCAGAGCATGGTCACTCAGTCCCCTTTGACCTCCTGGAGGCTCTCAAATAGGAAAGTATTAGCTTTAACCTGCTGAAAAGCAGCCATGGCAACTAATAGCTAGTTGAAATGGTAATGGAGACGGAATCTGTGGTGCCCTCTTCATGTGACATGCAGGGCAGATGCCTTAGCTAAGCCTCGGGCAGCAGCCACTCTGATCCTGAATAGCCATGAGAGGTCCCAGCCAATTCCCGGAGACCTCTGGGAGACAGGGCAGACGTACCCTCACACGAGCCTCTGTCCTGGGAAGAAGGAAAGTCAGGGTGCAGAGAGTGATGCTCTGCGAAGTCCTGTAGACCCAGACTGAGAGCAGCCCACATCCTCGCTTCTCACGAAGGAAGGGACCACCCTATCGTCTCTGGCGCTCTCCCATGGCATTCGGATCTGATCCCTTGTTGGGCTCACTGACCAGGGAGCATGAAGAGCAATGGACAAGAAAACATGGGCTTCTTTAAGGTCAGGCACTTTCCTGTATAAAGATGTGTTATGCCAACTTATAGTCATTTTAGCCATTTGATCTTCATAGCAGCCCTCTGAGGTGGCTACTAATATTATCTCTATCTTACAGAGGAGGTCACCGAGCCTTAGAGAGGTCAAGTGTCATGTCTGGGGTCACAGGTTGGCAACTGAGCCAAGATTCAAATGAAGGCCGCCTGGCTCCATAGGTCTTCACTACGTCCCTTCACACATTCTGAGTCACGACATCTAGTAGTCCCAAGGGACTGATAAGAACATCTCGTGGTAGAACTCCCAGAAGTGAGCCTTTATCACTGTGAGTAGGAAATCCCTGCTTTCAATAGGTGGGCGAGGCGGGAAAATTCTCTCTGAGATCCATCCAGAAACTCCAGTCTCACTGCCACAGAGTCAAATCCAACTGGAGATCCCACAGGACTGGGCAGAACTGCCCCTGTGAGTTTCCCAGACTGTCACTCTTTATGGCAGTAGAAAGCCTCATGTTTCTCCCGTGGAGCAGCTGGTGGTTTCAAACTGCTGAACTTGTGGTTAGCAACCCAGCACGTAACCCAGGACACTACCACGGCTCCTCTGAGACCCGTAGGCCGTCTCCGCTATGGAAATGCGTTTTTGTTATAGGGCACAGTGTGGTTCAACCCCATGCACAGACAGCAAACCTCCTTCCCAAGCACCTGACCGAAAGCTCTCCCTTCTCACCCAGTGATGGAGACGGGCACCAGGACAGCACAGACAATTGCCCCACCGTCATTAACAGTTCTCAGCTGGACACTGATAAGGACGGCATCGGCGATGAGTGTGACGACGATGACGACAACGATGGCATCCCGGACCTGGTGCCTCCAGGACCAGACAACTGCCGACTGGTCCCCAACCCACGCCAGGAGGATAGCAACAGTAAGCACTCTCACCCAGGGCTTCCTGGGACCTGGGCTCCCTCAGCTCAGGGCCCTAAACACGGGTGGATCCTCTGAGGGGCCCTCCTCTGCTTCCTCACACGTGTCAGAGGGACCTGGTGAGTTATGTGCATGTGTGCGGGTGCGTGCATCTCCACTCTCCAGGATCTGACTTCTTGGAAAGCATGACCATCATATTAACGATTAAACACAGAGAGAGGTGAACTAACTAGATTGTGAAATTGTTCGTGGATGCAGGGCACTACCATTTTTCCCATAGACCACCTTTCCTAGGACGAGAAGAATTCACCAAACAAGATGAGTCAGCGAACTTTGTTGTTTCGACCATTGGCGTACAATTCTATTGACCTCCCACAACGAAAAATGTCTTCTACCCAGTTGGCTTTTAAATGGTCCATCCTTCGGTGTTGATGCTGGTTTTGTCATACATGCTAGAATTAGAAATGAACAGTTGGAAAGATGGCCCAAAAGAAAACGTAATGATCAAAAAACAAATATGACATAATTAAAGCAATCCATGTGAGGGAAAGATTAATATTGCCAGGGTGCGTTCCCCTTCTCAGACACCGTGTAGGACAGGGTAGAACTGCCCCTGCGAGCTTCTGACACTGCAACTCTTTATGGGAGTAGAAAGCTCGGTCTTTCTCCCTTGAGTGGCTCATGATTTTGAACTTCAGACCTGGTGGTTCCCAGCTCAATGTGCAACCACTACACCACCAAGGTTCCTTGGCTCTGTTTGCAGTATGTGAACTTTTTACCTGTGTGATGGAGTACAATGGGGTACAAGTTGGATTGCTTACCTTAAAGTCAGCAGTTTAAAACCACCAGCTGCTCCCAGGGAGACAGATGAGGCTTTCTTCTCCCATCAAGACTTAGTCTTGGAAACCCCCCGAGCAGTGCTGCTGTGTCCCGTAGGGCCGCTATGCGTGAGAATCGACTCGGTGGCAGGGAGTCTATTTGTTTGTTTGTTTCTTTGTTGTCTGTCTGTTTCGGGAGTGGGGGAAGCTTGACATTTTTCTTTTGTTCTGTTGAGCTTGCATCTGTGTGTATGCCAAGCCTATTTGAAGTTAAATTTTAGAAATGTTGTTTATTAAGATAGAAAACACGCTGTACCTAGATACTACCCGGTTAAAAAGCGACCTGACTGAATTCATGGCCGTGGCTTCTTCAGGTTCCTTCGCTGTTGCACGTCCTCCGGGACTGGAGTTCCCATTGGTCGTTTCCTGCACGTGCAGTGCACGAGGGCACACATTCCCTTGTGTTTGTACCGTGGCCAAGAGTGTTGCTGGCTTTCCTGACTGGAGTGGCTGGGTCAGCAGTTCTCTCAAGATGGACCCGAGACCTGCTGTCTCTTAACACAGTCCATCCTGGCCTGGGAACCATGCATGTTGAGTGAATGTAACAAGAGTTAGACTCATCGTCTCACCTCCACCTCAAGTGTTTACTAGGAAGAAAGAGTATGCTCCCAAGAGGCCCACCAAGATGGGGAGTTTCCATTACCCAGGAAGGGACTGTAGGAGCCAGATGTCCATGAAGGGGTCAGGGTGGATGGGGTGCTCTCGTGTCAGCCTGAGCTTTCTTTCCAGCTGGCCTGTCCTCATACACTGGAGCTGTATCAGCTGTATTGTGGGCCTTACCCCTTCTCTGACACTCTGGTGCTCCCTTTTCCTGGTGTCCTGCCTGCTTGGCATGGGTGGATCCTAGCTTTGGACAACTGGGGCCTCTGTTTGGTCGATGCACCAAGCACTTGTTGGCCTTGCCAACAAGTATTGGGGAACGCCTTCCTGGTTCAGCCAGATACACGGCAGCACACTGTTCCCAGGACCTTGGGTCAGAGCATCCCACCTCCAATTGGCTGAATCCTAAACCCAGCTCCTCTGAGCAGGGCAGCCTATGGACAGTAGATGATGCTAGAATACAAGGCTCCAACTCTGTCAAAGAAGAGCTATTTTGCATCTTCCTGGATATGGAACTCAGAGGCTCCCCTTCGTTCCCAGCCAAGGGTTGGATTACAAAGGGCAGAGAAGCAGTTGTCTCCTTACAGCTCAGACGCCGAGGGGCTTAGAGAGCTACTCTGCCCCCTTGATGGTACCATTAACTGGGAGTCCCAGGAAAGGCAGAGCAATAGAGACAGAAGGGCACAGCAGCCCATGGCTTAGACAGGGTTACAGCTCAGACACCTCCAGGGGCCAGGCAGGTAAGGGAATGTGCGATACACGGGAGAGACAGCCGGGGATGGTGGGGACTAGGATGAGCAGGAGAGGGCATGCCCACCCAAAGCTATGCACATGCACATACTTTAAGACCACCATATCAGCTAAACAGAATGTTTGGCTGGCAGCCCAGATTCTGCCCAGGGGCTACCCAAAGTATTTGCCTTAGAGGTACTCTGGTGGAAATAATCACTCCCCTTTTTTCTACACTTTATAGGCCAGAAAGTGCTCCATGGATTAGCTTATGTAAGGCCAGCCTTAAGATCTGCCAGGAAGTGAATTCAAACACCAAGCCAAGCCAACTGCCTGTGGGTTTCTGAGACTTTGTTTATCTACATATATATCATTTTATTGGGGGCTCTTACAGCTCTTATCAGAATACATACATCAATTATACCAAGTACATTTGTACATATTTTGCCATCATTTTCAAAACATTTTCTTTCTACTTGAGCCCTTGGTATGAGCTCCTCTTTTGCCCTCCCTCCCCTACCCTCCTTCCCTCTACCCTACCACCCTCATGAGCCCTTGATACATTATAAATTGTTATTATTTTTATATCTTACACAGACCGCTGTCTCCCTTCACCCACGGCCCCCCCGGGGGGGGGGGGGGGGGGGGGGGGGGGTGGGGGGGGGGCTGTTGTATGTCGATCATTGTAATCAGTTCTCCCTTTCTCCATCTTCTCCCCCCTCACCTTCCCCCTACCCTCATGGTATCATTACTCTCATTATTGGTCCTGAGGAGTTCGTCTGTCCTGGATTCTGCATGTCAAGAGCTCTTATCTTCACCAGTGTACATGCTCTGGTCTAGTCGGATTTGTAAGATAGAACTGGGGTCATGATAGTGGCGTGGGAGAAAGCATTAAAGAATGAGAGGAATGTTGTGTGTTTTGTCGGTGCTATATTGCACCCTGGCTGGCTCATCCCTTCCTTGTGACCCTTCTGTAAAGGGATGTCCCATTGAGACTTAAACTCTTAAGGGAGTAGAAATCCCCATATTTCTCTGGAGGAACAATTGGTGGTTTTGAACTGTTGACCTTGCAGTTAGCAGCACAATGTGTAACCATTGTGCCACCGGGGCTCCAGGTAAACTCAACTTACATAATAAGAAGAAATTTCTGGGGACAAAGCAGGTGACTTAATCCTACAAGAAACCCTAGGAGTCTTCTGAGAGCTGGCTTAGTCATCCCAGGACAGGGCCCAGGGTCAGCCGGACATTATTATCTCAGCACTGACTTGGAGGTGGGAGATCGGGTGTTCTGGTCCACGCTCAGCCTCCTTCTGGTGAAGAGCAGTGGTGGGCATGGGCATTACTGAGCTCCTCTCTTCTTTCTCCACCCCACGCAGGTGATGGGGTGGGAGATATCTGTGAGACCGACTTTGACCAGGACCAGGTCATTGATCGGATCGATGTCTGCCCGGAGAATGCCGAGGTCACCTTGACTGACTTCAGGGCCTACCAGACTGTGGTCCTAGATCCTGAAGGGGATGCCCAGATTGATCCAAATTGGGTGGTTCTGAACCAGGTGAGTGAATGCCCCCCTGTTGGCAGGTCCCAGCACAGCCAGCAGCTCAGATTTGCATCTTAATGGGGCCCCTGTGATAACTGTAGGTGACGTTTCAAGGGTGTGGACGGTAAGCCAGGCACTGTCCCACATCTCGTGTAGTCTCCAAAATGAGTGGCCTGACGGCCGAATGTCTTCTCCCCATTTTGCAGATGATAGAATCAAGTCTTAACATCCTTCACGGACTTGAACTCTTGGGAATTGGCTAAGGTAGCTCGAACTGGAAGCCAGGCCATCTTGAGTGCAGAGTTCACATACCTAATGGACACTCCCATAGACAGTCCTCCCGCAGTGTCCCCGGAAGGGAGGGAGGGAGGGAGGGAGGGAGGCAGGCACAGAGGGACTTACACGATTTACAAGAGCCACACAGCAAGTCACGTCCCTGAGAAACACTAGTGCACCAACTGTTTCTTGAATCAGTCTCAGATGACATACGTGACCGTTCTAGCAGAAGTATTTATCCTCAACTTGGTGCTTTTTCTCCCACAAGGTCAACCAGTTGCTTGCATCATAGCCTCTGTTCGTAGAGGTCAGAGGTTACTAGCCACTCAGCACCCTGATGTCAGACATTCTGGGCTTGCACGGACTCTCTCGGCCCCTTGAAGACAAACTCCCTGTCCTCTCTTTGCAGGGCATGGAGATTGTGCAGACCATGAACAGCGACCCTGGCCTGGCAGTGGGTATGTCCGGGGTCTCAGCCACCACTCCAAGTAGAACCCACTCTTGTCTGCTGCTTGGTGGCTTGTGCCCTTTCCTCATCCTGCTCTGATCCCTGCAGGGTACACGGCTTTTAATGGAGTTGACTTTGAAGGGACTTTCCACGTGAACACCCAGACAGATGATGACTACGCTGGCTTTATCTTTGGATACCAGGATAGCTCCAGCTTCTACGTAGTCATGTGGAAGCAGACGGAGCAGACCTATTGGCAAGCCACCCCGTTCCGAGCAGTCGCAGAACCGGGCATCCAACTCAAGGTATCGGTGGCTGGAAGCCACTCAGCTCTCTTTCTTCTGTTTCCTTCACCCTCCACCTTTCAAATTCAAGTTGGTTAATTGAAGAAATCACTTCACTTCACTGGCACTAGCAGTCAAGTCAGGGCAGATGAGAGCTGACCGAGAATTGTGGCCTTCCTTCCTAGGTGCCAGCTTTATTCGAACCTTTGGCTGACTGTAATGGATCCACCTGAGTGGGCAAATAGAGGGCTGGGGTGAAGGGGGGTGGGGAGGGAGGTCATCTGCAGGCACATTACACTGGATGCTGGCTAGCCTATTTCCTCAAGGGTCAATCCTATTCAGAAGGACTGATCAGATACCTCTGGCATGCCTGTTAGAAAAAAGTCAGAGCCAGTTTGATGGAAGCTCTCACTGGGGAATTGTGGGGAGCAATGGATTGACAGTAGGAAACCTGCAAAGTCGGTTAGTGGAATGCTGGCCAGTGCCAGTATTAAAGAGTCAAGGGGTCACTTCCGTGGAAGTGACATTTAAGTGTGTGTGCCTTTGTCTACATTTAATTCAGTCTGCCTGTATCCATGGACTCGCCACCAGGCAAATCACGTCAGGGTTCTGGGGAGCAGGAAGGCTGATCAGAGCACCCTCTTTGAACAACTTGATCCTGCCTTTATCCAGGCGGTGAAGTCCAAGACGGGCCCGGGCGAGCATCTCCGGAATTCCCTGTGGCACACTGGGGACACCAGCGACCAGGTCCGGCTGCTGTGGAAGGACTTCAGAAACGTAGGCTGGAAGGACAAAGTGTCCTATCGCTGGTTCCTGCAGCACAGGCCCCAGGTGGGCTACATCAGGTAGGCAGATAGTTCGTGGCGTGTTCCTTTCTGCATCATTGCAGCTCCTGTTCCCTGACTCAGGTATCGCAGTGGCCGCCCTGTACCTGTGAGACATCAGGCTGGGCTTCCAAAAAGGAGGTGGAGGAAAGACACCCGGCCCAGGCTGTCCACCCTGGACATAGGGGCCAAACTCAGACTCTCAGAACCTTGTTGGAGGGAGACGTCACCCTCAGGGTTTGGGTGGTGCACGTGAATGGTGGATCCCCTTCGACCAGGCTCTTCACAGATGCCTGAGAGTGGCCAGGCTGTGTGGCAGAGGTGTGGCTGAGCCTGTGATCCACGCTTTCCCCTGAGAGACCACTGGGATGCCACCCCTATGTGGCTCCCTTCACATTGAGCCCCATATGGTCTGTCTTCTCTGCTGGATTATAAACTCCACGAGGGCAGCACCTGGGTCTGATTTTACCTCCGACTCCCCAGTGCCTAGTCCAAGCCTGGCTTGAGCCACTGGAAGCAGGAACTGGTCTTCATGTCAGCTAGTGCTATCTGCCTTATGTCTCTTTAGGAATTTTAACAAAATTAAAAACCTATTCACCATAGTTAAGATAACTCAGAACTACATCTCTGGAATCGAGGGAGTATATTTACATCATCACTATTCAAACATTCAGCTAAACTAGGGCTTCAGACCAACTGAACTCGTTCAGTCATGGCCAACTGAGTGAGTTTGGGACAGACCTGAGTTTCTTTAATTAGCTGAAGCCAAAGGCTAACCACACTGGAAGTGTTAAGGGTCAAAGCCTTGGAATAAGAGGCTCAGAAGAAGCCCAGTGAACCCTTTCAGGAGCCTGAGGTGGGAGGTGCAGAGCAACACTCAGTCAAAGCAATAAGGATCCTCACCATCTCTGAGCCGGGCATCACTGTTTCCAAGTCTACCCGTCAAGAACCGTGGTTGCTGCCAAATGTGCGCACTGCCCTTGTTCTCTAAAAGGGAAATGACGTTTCCGGCAGAGCTTTGACCCATACTGTTTCCCTGGAAAGCGTAGCATTCCACTACAGCCGCACTGGACAATCACACTCTGTTCCCAGATGGCTGCATTCGCCAGGACGGCTGGCGAGAGCGGGTTCAAAGCCCTGAAGGGCACAGGCAAGCTTGTGGAGGACAGCAGTCAGGCCAGGCGGAGACAGACCGTCGGGAGGGCTTGATCCTACTGGCTCTTTGTGCGGGTCCGTTGGCTGTACTGTTTGCCTTACAGGGAGAGAATGATGCCCTCAGCCCTACCCACTTCCTATTAAAAACACAAAAAAGGAAACGCCCCCTCCCCTTTTCTGTCCCTGGATTAAATAATAGTATGGGTGCAGAGGTAAATTTAGAAACTCAATCATCTCTCTAACCATATCAGGGAGAAATAAGGATAATTAATTTGGAAAAAGACAGTGTCACTCTCCAGGTACAGCCACATGAAAAGACAGAGGGAAATATACACTCACACCGATGCCAGACTCGCCATGAAGGTGTTGCCGGGGCAGGCTGTGAGACAGTGACACCCGCCCCAAGGGCGGTGACGACCGTGATAGGCATTTCTGAAAGAGTGAGCAATTCTTAATGTTCGAATAAAACAAAGTAGTCCGTCACGTTCCAGTTTGCCCTGAAAAATTCACTTCATATTACAGCAGTACCAAAAACACTTGGCGTTCACGAGGAAAAGGGAGTTCGGTTCTAGGTCCAGATCCTTATAAGCCGAGGCTTTCCTTACCTGAATGTCTGGACGGACATTCCAAACGTCTATGGGCTACGGGACACGTTTGGGTTGTCCGGTTGAGACTCTCTGCCCTCGGTTCCCACCAGATGACGTGTGCTACATCTCAAGGAACTTTCCTTGGGGTTTGAGGCATGCTGTCTCGACAAAGAAGTCACAGTGCCCTGTTCACGATGTCGGGTGTGGTTTCTCTTCACCGGGTCCCTGTGGAGCCTGCCCCTGCCCGACGCTGTACCGGGTCTTGTGAGCAGACCTGGGCTCCAAGACAGGCACATGTGGCCCCCGGTCTCAAGAAGCTTTCAGGCTGGTTGGGGGTAGGAGACAGGCCTGAGCCCATCGGAGTCAGTGCAAACGAGAGAGAAAGGCTCTGTGTGTATGCAGCGGGGCCCTGGGCCACATGACGGGGACTTCAGCTCGCACGATGAGTCTGGTTGCGCTTGCTGGGAGACCCACTCTGGCTGTGTTGTTCACAGGGTGCGCTTCTTTGAAGGCTCTGAGTTGGTGGCTGACTCTGGGGTCACCATAGACACCACCATGCGTGGCGGCCGGCTTGGCGTTTTCTGCTTCTCTCAAGAAAACATCATCTGGTCCAACCTCAAGTATCGCTGCAACGGTAATGCACACTCTTGTCCCTGCACGGTGTGACTGCCAGGGTTCCCCACCTGACCCATCTTCTCTCGCACTGCACTCTCCACCGAAAAGCTCGACGCTCAGGAGGTGGCTCATGCCACGTAGTCATGACAACCTGATCGTCCTTTAGTGTGGGAGACAGAAAATCCCTATCATGAGTCCTACTTTTATACATGTGGAAGTTTAGACCCATGGAATTTAACGGCTTAACGCTTAGGGTTCAGTGAGAAATTTCGATCAGGTTTAATTTATAGGCAGCCTTTCTTTTCCTACAGCGCAAACATAATCACAGACTCAAACCCCACTGTCTGCTCATTTTCTCTCTGCCTGGGAATGAGGGCGCCCGGGCCTTTAGCCAACAGCTCACAAAGCATCCTGATTATAGAAATGGACTGCAGGGCCTTTGGGACTTCTTGGACAGGCAGACAGTGACCCCTACAGGATCCCTGCACAGGGAGGGATGGACCAGGATTCCTTGGGTTTAAGCAGCCCACTTCTGTAAAGAACCAGTCTCAGAAACCCAAAGGGGGAGTTCTACTCTGTCTTATAGAGTCACTCAGAGTTGACTCAGTGGTAGTGAGTCCAACTGACCTCTCCAAGGAGCTCTGGTGGTGCTGTGAGATAGACATTGGGCTGCTAACCACAAGGTTGGCAGTTCAAACCCACCAACTGCTCCTCAGGAGAAAGATGAGGCTGTCTGCCCCTCTAAAGATTTATGGTCCCAGAAAACCTATGGGGCCAATTTGAGTCAGAAGAGCTCGATGGCAGAGTTTGGTTTGGTTTTGACTAACCTCCACCAAAAGCCCCTGTGGCACAGTGGTTAAGATGCTCCGCTGAGAACCAAAAGGTCAACAGTTTGGGCCCCTCAGTCACTGCTCAGGAGGAAAATGGGGCGTTCTGGGGCAGTCGGCCTCTGTAAAGACTTATAATCTTGAAACACTCTAGGACAGTGCTACTGTGTCCTGTGGCGTCACTGTGAGTTGGAATCAACTTGGTGGCCGTGGGTTTGGTTTGGGATTGTGACTAACCTCCCTGCCCCTATTCCTGTTTGCAGACACCATCCCAGAGGACTTCCAAGAGTTTCAAACCCAGAATTTCGATCGCATGGATAACTAAGCCAAGGAAGAGAGCCATACTGCTTTTCCAGACACTAAAGCCGTATATGTTTTAATGTCCTGTGATTTTATATATACACATTGTGGTTTGCTTTTACCAATGCAGATATATGAAAATGCTGTATATGAATATGGCAATAAAGAAGAGGTAATTTCTGAAAACCACGTCTCTCAGACACTGTATAGGTGTGCCTGGAGTTCCGACTGTGTATCTGTTGTGCTCTGTGGTATGCGTGTTGACAGGACAGGGGGACCAGGTCAGTCAAGTTGAATATGTGCATGAGTTGGAGGCCCCAGGTCTTCACTTCTCGACGTTTTGCCTAAAGATTAAGTGTTGAAGACCCAGGTCAAAGATCTCATCTCCAGTCGTTCCAATTAGCTTCACACACATACGCAAACTAACAACCCTTACAAGCACGTCTGCAGCCTTCTTAATCTCAGGGAGAAGTCTCAAAAGCACAAGCTCAAAGGTGCCTTCCCTAGAAAGACTTTTCCGAAAGTCCAAGGGCAGAGCTGTCTAATGCACAGGCTCCACCCCTCCCCACCCCACATGCACTTGCTGCATAGCTTTCTAACCCAGACTTACTGGGGTCTGATGCATATTTATGTGTATTTGGCTCCCCCTAGTGGAAACTGAGTTTCGGGAGCCTAAAGGACCACGTCCTATTGCAACCTGGATCTCCAATGCTTAACAAGTACCTGCCGTGCAGTGGATGCCCAGGGAACGTTTGTTGGAGGAATGGGTGGAGGGATGGATGTCTCTTCAATAACAGAGTAGGTGGATCACGCAAAGCCTCCTTAGGTCAAAAAGCTGCACACAGCACATGCTCTAACCATGGCAACGTATGATCGGTAGATCATTGTATGTCCCGGGTAGAAGCTCACCTAATTTGTTCACTAGCCTGTCGGATATCCATTTTAAAGTAAACTAATTTGTTCACTAGCCTGTTGGGTATCCATTTTTAAGTAAAAGTCAAGGCAACGTTTCAAACCTTTGTAAAAGCTCCAGGAGAACGAGGCTGAGAGATCGGTGACATGCTGGAACCAGCTGACACAAGCTCACGGGAGCCAACTGTTCTGTCTTTAGGATGTTGGGAGACATTCCAAGCATAATGGGGGGAGCGCTGCCTCCTCAAACAGTCAACTTAACGATGTGACAGAGGAAAGCTCTGGGGACCATCACTGGCCAAGGTAGCAAGACCTAAAATGAGAAGAAACAGCTGCAGATACCTGTCAATAGTCAGAATGTGGAATGTACGAAGTATAAATCTAGGACAAACAGGAGTTATAAAAGATGAAATGGAACACATGAAAATCAATGCCATAAGCATTACCAAGCTTACATGGACTGCTACTGGCATCTTTGAACCAGACAGCCGCATGGTTGACGCTGCTGGGATGACAAATTGCAAAAGATCATTCCCTGTCAAGAGAACATTTCAAGATCTATCTTAAAGTACAACTCTGTCTGCCATATCCATACACCTGCCAGGAAGGCCAGTTAATACATTATTCAAATTTGCACATTGACACACCAAGGCCAAAGAGGAGGAACATGACGTGGTGTTGTTTTTGCCAATGTCTGCAGTTTGTAGTTGGCCAAACATGATCAAGATGCATTGAGAATTACTGGTGATTAGAAAGCAGAAGTTGGAAACAAATAAGGATTGGTGGTTGGAGAAGACGGTCTTGGCCATAGAAACAATGTCGGAGACTGCATGGCAGGGTTTTGCAAGGCTTATTTTTGATGACAGAAACTTGCAGAGTGGAATACACAAATTGCCACCTGTGGAAAGGGCTGCTAGAGCAGGTGGGTGTCATCAGTCAGGAAAGGCCAGCGGCACATTGCGATCCAGGCCATCCATGGCCCAGAAAATGAAGACAAGTCCACAAGATCCAAAACACTGCCTTGAATATTAGATAGAGATAAATGGATGGATGGATAGACAGACAGACAGACAGACAGACAGACAGACAGACAGATAGATAGATAGATAGATAGATAGATAGATAGATAGCTATACCACCTGAATTTGTAAAGCGCCTGCAGAATAGATTGGACACAATACTAACAGCTGTGCGATGACACCATACATGAAGAAAGCATGTATCACTCCATGGATGTCAGAAGAGGCCTTGAAAGTTGCTCTAGAATGCAAAGAAGCTAAGGCAAAAGGAAGGAAGGATGAAGGTAAGGGGTTCGGCAGGGGATTTCAAAGGCAGCTTGAGAAGACCACACGAGCATTATTACTTGGGTGCACAGAGGTCGGGAATGAGGAAATCAGAAGGGAGGCGTGCGCTCAGCCATTCTGAAGTGGAAATGAGTGACCTGGGGGAAGAGCCCCGCCTCAGGTTGTGACCAGAAGGGATTCCAGGGCCCACATAGCAGACCTGCAGAGGGCATCAAAAAGAAGACAGGAACTCAGGCCAGGCCGTATAAGGGGTTCTGTCACTGCTTTGATAAGAGGGCTATATAACTGCATAGAACAGGCTTTTCTTTGTGTGTTTTCTATTCCATCAACAAAAGGGGGAAATAATATTTTTAAATAAATAAAGTTCAATTTTTAAAGAGAGAGAGGAGGTTGGGGGGGGGGGGCTGTCACAACCTTAAAAAAAAAAAAAACAAACACCTCCAGACTTCTTACGCCTCAGATCTGCGCCTTGGTCTGAGTGGCTACTCGGGAGGGAGAAAAGGAAAACTGGAACAGATTTGGATGCGGACAAGTTGACTTCAAACAAGAAGATAAATCAATAAAAAAATGTTCATGCACACGTCGAAAACTCTTTTTAAAAGAAAGAAAAGCCAGAGGTAGTGGTCGTGACCATCCGAGTCCCCTCTCCTGAGATGAGGTAAACCCCTGGGTTCCTAACTGGGAGGATGGGGTTGAGGAAGAAACCCCAGGAAGGCCTGCCTGGTGGGGGCTGGGGGGCCTGCTGGGCGGGAAGGCGGGAGGATGAAGGGAGAGCAGGGTGCTGGGACGGGGCAGATGGAGGAGAAGTGGGAGAAAGCTGACCTGCACGGGGCCTTCAGGAAAGTGGGCCGCAGGGAGAGCCAGGCCACCTCCGAGCTGGCACGGCCAACTCCAGAACAGGTTTTCAAGTCCTACTATCCCCCCGCCCTCCAGCCCACACAGGCAGACAGAGGTAGCCGGGCAGAAGTGGGGAGATTTGCCAAACAGACTGTTCTAAAAGAAAAGCTCACATAGGCTAGATCTGTGAGAAGAAAACAAATCAAGATGTTCGTAAAACCAGTATGCCGTTTAGAGAGGCTCAACAGAGTCGTAGCTAAAGGGGAACCCTGTGGATTGAATTGTGTCCCCTAAACAAGATGTGCTGCAGACCCTAGCTCTACGCCTGTGGGAATAATCCCATTTGGGAATGGGTTGTCTTTGTTGTGTTCATGCGACGTGAGTAGTGTAGGGTGTCTTCAGTCTATCTCTCTGGATATATAAACGAGATGAGACACGCAGAGATGGCGATGGTTGGTGCATAGCCATGGGGACCAGGGAGCGCTAGCTGCAGAGGCAAGGACCTTCCTCCAGAGGGCGCCGTGGGAGAAAGCCTTCCCCTCACACCAGATCTCTGAATTCAAACTTCTAGCCTCCTAAACAGTGAGAAAATAGATGTCTCTGTGTAAAAGTCAACCACTTGTGGTATTGCTGTTATCGCTGCACTAGTCACAAAAGGGGAGCCCCGGTAGTGTAGTGACTATGCATTAGGTGGCTATCTGCAAAGACAGCAGTTCAAAACCACCAGCCACTCCGCAGGAGAAAGACAGGGTTTGCTACTCCCATGAACAGTCACAGTGTCGGACACTCCGGGGCCGCTCTCCTCTGTCCTGTAGGGTCGCGGTGCGTCGGCATCAGCTCAGTGGCACTGAGTACGGGGTAACGAAGACCAGGAGTAGGGCAGCAAATGATATACATCAGACAACTTTAAATAGAAAAATAACACATTTCGGTTTTACATCTCAACCCACACCAAGGCTGGAACTCCAACTCAGTCTAATTGCAGCTGCCTGAACAAATTGGATTTGGATCATGCCCCTCCCACTGATCGAATTTGTCTGTGCTTAAAGCCAAAATATGTGCACGGGTTGTTTAAGAGCTGTAAGAGTGCTCAATAAAATGATTTATTTTTTAAAAAACATTAAAATATGCCAGACTTGTCCTTCATCCTAGAAATTTCACAATTAGCCCCTGAGCAGAGAGCTCTCGAGAGGTGGGTGGCTGCGTCACCCAGTAGTGTGGAGCCACCAGCCCTGCTGTGAGAAAAGGCGCGGTCTGCTCCCTACCACCCAGGACCCTTCCCTAACACCCTTCCCTAACACCCAAGGACACTTCCCGGCCCTTCCTTTCTGTCCTGTGGGGTCTCTGGGAGCTGGAACCGAGGGGGCGGCTCTAGCACACAAATCCTCCCTCGATTTTCACTTCTCTCTAAGACACGATAGGAAATAGCTGTTGAAAGGCCCGTGTGTCCACAAAAGGAGTTGTTGAGTTCAGTGTGAACATCTGGTGCCACGTTTTGTTTTTCCTAAACAGTCATTCATTAAGTGCTCATTTTATGGCCTCCACTAGAATAAACAGTAGCAGGCATCTAAAGAAAAAAAATCATTAAAGGAATTTTTTTTCTTTGAGAAACTCAGAAGTTTAGTGAACGAGCTTCCCAACTCCACCTCACTCCCATCCCTCTTCCACCAGAATTCTGAAGGGAAGGACATGGGAACTAAAGTCTCGAAGTCCCTCCTGTGAGCTCCCAGAGGAGAGACTTAGAGACTTACCTCTCTAAGTCCCCATACCTCTCGTTCAACTTCTTTGTTGAATTGGGAAGGCCAGCCAGCTTCAAGAATCTAACCCATCCGCAAAAGACCTCAAGTTCTTGTCTCCTTTCCTAGAATCCACCAGAGGGCAACAATCCACTAAAAACAGCCCTATTCTGAACAAACCCCAGCCACAGGTCTTTGCCAACTCGTAGCGCCTCGACCGGACAGAGTAGAATGGCCTCGGTGGGGTTCTGAGACTCTAACTTTTTGCAGGAGTAGAAAGCCCACTCTTTCTCCAGAGGAGCGGCTGGTGGTTTTGAATTGCTGGCCTGGTGGTTAGTAGCCCAGCACTGTGCCACCAGGGCTCCTTAGTCTAACCA